TAATTATTTAGGATTTTTAATAAATAAAAAATAAATCATCTATTTGATTATTTTAATTTCATCTTATTATATAAGATAACATAAAATAGAGTCATAATGAAAATAAAATAAATCTATTTTTCAACATTTTAATAATTGTTACATTATTGAAAATTTATTAATATATATTGATATTATTTATCAATTAATAAAGGAGTAAAAATAAAATAAAAATGAGAATTCATTTAATCATAGATTAATTCAAATCTCTGTATTCCATACTTATAATTCCAATTGGTTATTCTTCTTCTTATTAGTTTATTTATTTCTTTTTAAGTTTATCAATAAATCTAGTATTTTAATCTCCTTGAATGTAATTGGAAATGTCAAATACATCTTTGACTTCTTAACCTAGTTTCTCAATCAAAACTTTGTTGAATGGATTATTTTTTTCATCTGATAATGCTACCCTTTCATATGCTGAATATAGTTTATAATAGATTTGCATTCCAGGAGTGACAAACTAACCTTTTTTAAACTTTTTATCTAACATCATTTTAGCCACATCTTCAAATTAAACTCCAAGTGTTTTTGTATATTATCGTCTATGTTAATTTAATTAAATACTTATTCTCTCTTCTTCCAGATTATTATCTATCATTTTCAATAGAGATAACTTCTTTAGGAGCAAAATTAAACAAAATTTTTTGATCTTTATTTAATAATAATTCTTTAATCAATTCTATTTCCTTTACTTTATCAATTAATACACAAATGTCAATATCTTAATTAATTTTATTACTATTTTTAATTAAATTTAATACATAGCCTTATTTAATAAAATTGAATTGTGATCCTGAAAGAATTTGCCACAAAATATTTAATGTAATAAAAATTTGAAAGTAAAAACAATAGGTCTACTTCGATCAAGCATAACTTAAATTTATTTAGTCAAATATTCTTTTCTATTACGATGACCTAATTTACTAATTATACTTTATTAAATTTATTTGATAGATTTTTTCTTTGATATATCAGTCTTATCTTTTGGTTCTTAATATTACATTGCATTCTCTTTTACAATTTCAGATACATCTATTAAATGATTATTTTATATATCAATAGCATCTGCACTCTACCATTCAACTTCCTTATCTCCAATAGGTTATCGATGACTACTTAATACCATTTTATATGATTCATCTTTATGAGTTTGAATTCCAGAAATATAATCTAATTTCTATGAGAAAGTTTATCGAAAGGACATTTTCAAATTCTTACCTAATGAAGCTTATGCTGGATTGATAGATGAAATAGGACTACATCTATTCAAAACCATAGGTTAAGATTTCAATTAAGTAATATCTTAAACCAATCTTTGTCTTTCAAATTTCTCTTAATTTTCTTTTTTAGAATTAAAGTCATAAATTTAATTAGCCAATTCAATTAAATCTAATATAAATTATATAAATTTATTTTACATAATTATTTATTATATATGGCTACAAAGAATCCTAAAACAACAAAAACAATATTAGCAAATCCTCCTAAAATTGAAAGGAGTTTATCTAATTTTTAATATGATCTCTATATATATGTTGTATAAGGTGATCTTCTAAGATAGATAGATGCATATGTTTCACTTGCATAACTATTTTAATCTCTATAATCTCCAGATTCTTTGGCAAATAATTCTTTTGTATCAAAAACATCTCCAGTTGGTAATAAATTATTATCCGTTTTCATAAGATATTTTGTAAAGAATATATCAGCTTCCTTTCCTACTACTTGAGGAATAAAAGAGAAAAATAATTCATCATCCATAAATGATTGAACATAATCATCCCCTTTTAAAGGTCTAATCATTTGATTTGTAATAAATCTAAATAAATTTGATTTAATACATTTTAATTCTATATTATCTTTATTAAATAAGCCATTACTCAATTTCTTCATTTGATGCACAAATAGGTTACCAAGAATAAAAAGAATTTGTCATAGATTTGTTACTACATTGAGTAACAGTTATTTTTACAAAATCAAAAAATTTATTTGAGTACCTTCCTTTTAGAGAAAATGAATAATTCATTCTAATAATAATAATAATGTTATTAAATACTATGGACATAACCAAGTATCGAAACCAATATCATTATATTGTTATGTAAAATTTTGTCCAAAAGGATTAAAGATCTCTTGAAATCTTTAAACAGTACAAGGAACAAGATCAATTAAAGTTTCCTTCTTAGAAAGTGATCCATTACCTAATCGTTCGTATTGTCTAAATTATAAATTAAGATACCTTGATACCATTGTGATATTGAAAAAAGGATTGGAATTGAAATTTGCTTATTCGATAGCTACTGCAAACATAAAGTTAGTATCATTTAAATATATTTAATCTGGCTCATCTTCAAAGATTTGATTACTCTCACTTTGAATGTTTACTTTGTTGATGAAATCTTTTAAGTTGGATTAAAAGAATAACACAACGATTACCAATATCACTAAAGTCATTAAACCTCCACATCCTGTTTTATATTGATCTTCTCCATTGAGATTGAGAAGAATATTCTATCCAAACAAATCAATTGACCTAAGTACTTTTTAATAAGTAACTAAAATTTACATTTCACAAAGGATTTTTTGGAAGTGCTCATTTAAAAAAATGTTTATATTAAATTTAATCTTTATATATATATAAATGTTATACTCTATAAGAGTGTTATATAAATAATAAGTCTCATTTTTAATTGCTAACTTAAATATATAAATATTCAAATTATATCATTCTTTTTTAAAGAATTTATATTTCTATTATGTCAAAGTAAAAACACTATGGTTTTATTCATCATCACTTAAATCTTACAATTATATATTAATAGTATTTACCTGTATAATGTTGCTCAATTTCATCACAAAAGTAATTGAAGAAACTGATAGTAGTTTTTGTCTTAGAAGATGCAAGTGGAGTAGTATTTTCAGTCCAATCATACAAATAATTCTCTTACATTTTATTCTCTATCAAAATCTTCTTAAACAATGAAATCAAAAAATCATGATCTGGTTTATTATTATTTTGATTCCATTTTATGTACCCAAAGAGTTCAGCAAATGGAAGTCTGCTCATTATTTTAGAACTAAGATATTATTCCTTATGTCTCATCACTTCATCATTATATAACATAGTATTAGGATATTTCATCCAAGGAAGATATCCTAAGATTAATAATCCATATTACCTTTAAATAGAAAAACAAGTGTATAACCAAGCATTTCAATATCATCAATAAATCTATATGGCAATCTTTTATGTACTTATAAAGGATCATATAATTAAGTCCCTTCTGCTTCTTTAGAATAGATAAACTAATCAACTTCTTTGGCTATTCCAAAATCAATCAGAAATATTTATGAATCTAAGAATCATTAAAATAGAAAAAAAAACCTTCAAGAGATTTAATCATTAGATTTGTAGGCTTAATATCTCTATGTACAATATTCAAAGTATGGACTTCTTTCAATATTTCTAATACTTTAATTGCAACACAGCATATGCACTTTAAAGATAGTTGTTTCATTTTAGCCTTTAAGCTATGCAAATCTGTATTTAAATATTCCATGCTTAAATATGTAGATTTTCCTGACTCTCCCAAAGAGTATACTTTAGGAATTCCTGGGACATGTGATAACTTTTTCATAATTTTATACTCATTAGATAAGTCAAACTTAGAGTATTTGATGGCAACTTCTTATTTTGTATTATGATCTACACCTTTGAAAATAGTACCACATCCTCCTCTAAATAGCTTCTCTTATATAGTTAAACCTGGAATATCATCAACTGAGGATATAGTTTTATGATTGATGATAATCTAGGAGTGTCTTGTCATTTAATTAATATTATAAAAATGATTTAAACTGTTTAATTTAAGTCTCAATCCAAAAATGAAGTTTAAGAATGACTATAATTTATACTTTATCATATTTATTGTTATAATTATTTATCACATATTAATTTTTATAAAGTAAAAGCATATAAAATGTTAACAAGAATTCTATAAAATGAAAATCTTATTATCCATCATAATATAAATTCATATTATATATTATGAATAAGTAAGACTTTCCCTATAAAATATGTTTGTTATGATTAATTAGAAATAAGTTTTTTAAGAACATATAAATTGATCAAAAGGATTGTTTAAATAATTAAGATATTTATTTATTTTTGCTTCTTGTTAGCATGAAATCTTAGAATTCGAAAAAACCAAATTTAAAGATAACTTTAGACAAGAAGTCAGTTGCATAATTGTGTAAGTCAGATAAACCTCCTAGCTCCAAGTGTTCTTAAAAGACCATTTCCTCTAATGATAAGGTAAATTAATGAGACTAATTTATTTGATTTAGACTACTGCTTCCTCTAAACAATAAAGTTTCAAATTTTAAGATAGCTTCTCAACTCCAAATCCATCTTTCATTTCGGAGGGAGATAAGAAATGTATATATTTTTAATATATAATTATAGCAGTTGAACCTCATCAATCTCAGTTCATTTAATTCCTCATTCAAGAGAATTTACAACTTTAAAAACAAAATTCAGATAAAGACAAAATAATCACCAAACTCTTAACTACAAACAAACCTGTATGTTTATAGAGAGCCAATACATCTAATACAGAAAGAAATATTAATAAATATTCTTCTACAGAGCAGTAATATTTTCAAACTAGATGATCTAGAAAAAAAAGTGAATTAAAGAAAACCAATTCCCCTCTAGGATTCACTTTTTGTAACACAGACTAAGTGAATGATACCAGAACAATCTAAAGTTAGCC